ATTAGGAGACAATCATCTAGGCTAGTTTCAGAGCAGTGGAAGGATTAATGGTTCTTGATTAGGATCCCATCAGTACTATGATTTCATATCATTGTTTAAATTTATTCTGGACCAGCTTCCAGCTTCAGTTATGAAATCCATCATCCAGCTTTCATAGAGTTATTGGAATGGTGCTTCTCAAACATTCCCAAGGCTGACACGCCCAGATGCCTGTGCCTGTGCCACAGCAATGAAAGGGCCGGTTTTCTCCTTCACCCTTCACCAGATGTGTCACTTGGCTAGGCCTGAGTATTTTTATTTCAAACTGTGTCATTTCCATCAACCACAATTCCAAACTCTTCAGACAAAAACAGAAAAATGATCATCTTCTGGTTTGTTTGATTTTTCTGATGTGGGCTTGGTGAAGCAGATGTTATTCCAGGGTCTTTAGTCTTACTCCTGGAATTTCCAACAGCATGTGAAGCTGTTCATTTATACAAGGACTACCAGTGGGGTTGACTTTGCCAAGAAAAATATTTTTTATATACTATGTTTATGTATGCACTCAAAGAGAAGGAGAGAGAAAGAGAGAGCGAAGAGAGTGCTATTGTGCTGTAAGTGTGACAGCAGTCTGAGTCACAGCACAAATTTCCTTCATTCTGTCTTTATTATGATAAGTGTAGGCTGGTCCGGGTTGAATAAGACCTTGACATGCTCACAGCCTTCTAATAAGGTCTCATGAGAATTAAAGGCTGGTCAGAGTGGGAGACACAGAGTAGCTGCAGCTGTGGCCCTGGAGTGATCCAGCTCCAGCAGCAGAAGAAAACTCAAGGTCATACTATGGCCGTTCGGTTCCAACTCTGCAAGTTGATAAATTTTCTTCTGCCTTCTTTTCTCAAGCAGTCATGCAGTGCTTAGAATCCACTGAGCAGTCAGTCAATGCAAGTGATTTGCAAACCATAGCTCCTGCGTGGCTGGGCAGGGAACCAATCAGAAGCCACCTTCTATGGAGTAACATGTGTCGTGCAGAAGTTTGCATGCATGATAATGACTTCATGAAAAAGCCACTTAGTGTCTTATGATGTCTGTTGGTGAATATCAGTTATCAGGAGCACAGGTCATCACCGGTCTTTCCTTTCAGTGTAGAAGAGAAAAAAGCTAGGCCATGGTACCAACAGGGAGTTGGAGTAACAAAAGTCAAAATCCCAATATTGCCTCCCTGGTCTAGCAAAAAGATTCAATTTGCTTGCTGTTTTTATACTCTCTGAAAGCTCAGTAATATTTGACAAGCTGGGATGTGTATCCATGGTGATATGGACCTGCCAGTCACTTTGCTAGGCAGGACACCAGAAACCAGACAGACTACTGATGCAAACATCCATTTCAAACCCCAGGAAGGACATGGATTCTTCCTTTCCTGACTGCTCTCTACTCTTGCTTTTTCATCTACTCTGTAGTGAATGTCCTTTAATAACAAGAAAGCCTTTCATTCCCAAATTTCCTACAGGGACCAAGATGCTGCTGCTCTGTGGGAGAACACACTGATGTTCACACCAACATATCGTGAACACCTGTGATGTTCTTGAAGAAAGAAGGGTGTTGGTAGCCACAGGTTGCTGGTGTGAAGAGTGCCAAAAATTACTCAGTGTTTGGAAACTAGAAGGTCCTATGTCAAAAGAAGAAATCACTGAAAAGTGTCTGGCAAAAATCCTGCTCCCTTTATGGTCTGTCAGTGGTGTAGGAAATCTCAGGCTGCTGTATGTCTCCCATTGGGAGACTGCAAGGATGGTACTGATATTTTGATCCTCTAAGCAGGAAAAAGAAATGTGAGTTTTGATAAATATTGAATTTACTGCTTATCCTCATCTAAATTATGGAATAGGCTATTCAGTAGACAACTGTGAGTTCATTTTGAAAAAAAGCTAAGGCATCTTGGTGTGGTGGTTCATGACTTTAACTCCAGCACTCAGGAAGTAGAGGCAGGTGTGTCTCTGTGAGTTCAAGACCAATCTGGTCTACATAATGAGGTTCTGGGTTAGCCAGGGCTAAAAGACCCTGTTTAAAAACAAAACAAAACAAAACAAAACAACAAACCCAAAAAACTAAGGAGTCAGAAATACATAGCTTGTGAGTCACCTTCCTTCCTGCTAATATTGTATATAAGGGAAGCAGTGACTAAAATAATTTGTTAAATAAGCCAAGGTAGATTGAAAGTGGACAGCAATAACACAAATGTATTCTCAAATGGAAGAATCAGAGCAAGGAATAAAAACAATCCTGGGGGAAAGTAAATGTTTTAGTATCTGAGGTGATTGAATAAACAAATAAATACACAGTTCAGTTATATGACTTTTGGAAACCAAAATAAAAGAGTAATTGTCAGGTTCTCCTATTTTCTCAACATTTGTCCAAAACAAATAGAAAGAGAGAGACAGAGACAGAGAAAAAGGGAGGGAGAGGATAGTACTGTATGAATCAATGTTTCAAAAATTTCCTACCTCTAAATTCTTTCTGAAATTTACTGCATGAAAATTGTAATTTACAAGGCGTGTCAAACAACAAAATGTGTTTCAATAGATACAAGTAGAGCTTTGGATACCGATTCTCTATGAAAGCGGAACAATTTGTATTAAATCATCACTGAGGTAAAACATTTTTTGGAGGGAACCATTATAATACGGAGCAGATAAATTTCTTTAGAGACCCAAAAGGAAACAAATAAATATGGGATCTGTTGGCACAGCTTTCTCAAATATCCGGGTACGGAGACAGAGTAATAGAAAACATGACACTGAGAGATGACAGCTATGTCCAAATTCTCTATTTTTGATGAATGAGAAAGCTAAAGGCTAAAAGCTTCAGATATCAGACATGCAGGAGCAGTTTTAATATTATATTATAAAATGTAGGAACTTGATAAGAATTCTTACCCATGGAATCAGTGTCTTCAAAATAGTAGTCCAAGTTACTGTTGAGGAGGACTGGTTTTAAAACACTATTCAATACTGACTATATAAACTACTTAACATCTCCATACCTTAGGGTTTTATTTGCCAAAATGTGGATACCATAACTTACTTTTGAGCTCCAGTGAGAGTTAGATGCCACAGTGACTAGTTACTGTTAATTCACCATCAAGTGATAGAAAACTCAATGGCAGTGGTGGAAGTACAAATTTTCTTTTCCTTGATGCTCTAGACCAGTGATGAATATCCATGTAGTTTTGTTTTCTATCATTATTGTTTCCTATTCCTGCAGTTGTCCCACAGTCCCACATGGCTTCTCCCAAAATTGGCTTTCCATTTTAACAGGTCAGGACCTGCCTTTAAAGAACACTGTTGTTTACATCACTTTGGCCAGAATGTCATCACAAGATACCTTCAGAAGAGACCTCAAGGCAATCGGAGGTCAGGCAATAGAAAGAAGGACAAATACAGCACACTTTAAACCAGAATGTTAGCATTAAGTACATCTGAGAAATAACTAAAATATTTGTCATTATTCATCTGGAACACAAACTTAAATTTCCTGTATTTTATGTGGTCCAGTCAAGAAGCCAAGGGTCCTGTCACTGATGGGGAAGGAGATGAAGGAAAAAGAAATACTGGAGACAGATAACCATCTCTGTCACACAGACGTGTGAGATAGTGTATGGTGCAAAGCAGGCATTCAGGAGATGTTAGACTTCCTCCCTTTCCCCATATGGTGATTGCAGTCTAATTGCTGACAGAGCCCATATTTGCTTAAGAAGGAAAACTTAGTGGGTTACAAATACTTGGTTAAGACATCAGAGATTAGAGGCTATCTTATGTATGAAAAAGACAGATTTGGCCTGAAATTTAATAAGAACTCTGCTCTTTTCAGTCACATAGTCCTATCTCAGGGCTGCCCGGAGACAGGGCAGAAAGCCCATTCTGAGCTTATCAGACTCAGAAACTGACCTGGATGAAAGGAAATTTTCATGGTATGAAAAATGCATGTGTGTGTGTGGGGGGGGTTATGGTGGAGGGAGAAGAAGCTCCTACTCGTGTCCCTCCCAATTCAAATCACAATGTGATGATATTTGGAAATGGACCTTTAGAGGGGTGACTAGGTCATGAGGTACAGCCCCAGTTTGTGGGGTTGGTGCTTTATAAGGAAAATCCAAGATTTGAAGAAGGTGCCTAACACTGTGGGCAATCTGACCTTGTATTCCCACCCTCCAAAATGATGAAAGCTAAGTTTCCATTGTTGATAAGCCAACCTAGCCTATAACACTTTGCTATGGTAACTGAAGCCAAACCAGAAAGTATTCAGACTATGGTCTGCTGCTCGCTCCTCATTACAGACACCTTCACTTATATATAGCTGAGTTGTGATTTCTTTTCTGACTGTCATTAACCCAATGTTTCAGTTTTGCCAGGATGTTCTGAGTTCCTGGCCCTTAAGCCATGTCACTAGTAAAAAAAAAAAAAAAAAAAAAAAAAAAAATCCCCAAATAATATGGCAGAGAGAACAGAAGTCAGTCTCCTGAGTTAGAGGTGAAATAAAGTGGAGCCAGGACAGAGCCCATTACAGGACATAGAAGGAAAATTTGCTTTGTCTTACCTCAGTATTTAACTATAGGCTTTGATGAAGAAATATTTTCTTGTGAGAATGATAGACTTGGCCTATACCCAAAGCCTTAATTTGTGTTCCTGCTACCACCTGCCTCCTACAACACTCTTTAGCATGCAAACAATATTTACTCCCTGAAACCTCAAATGGCTTCTCATTATAGCACTAAACCCTTCCCAAGGCTGAAAAGGCCCTAACATCCTGAAAAGGCTGTTCTTTGTATTCTTTGACCACATTGTAGTAGGCTGAATGGTGGATACCCAACCCTCACACTACCCCAAACCATGTCTGTCTGCTGACTCATAGGACCCATGAATATTATTTTATATGACAAAACATGTGCTTAAGATAAGGATCTTGAGGAGTTACCGCCACTGTTCAGCACTGATGGCTGTGACCTAAAATCCTCAGGAAGCCCTGGGGTCATGGCCCAGAAGCACCCCAGAGGAAGAGGGTTGTGTGGAGCCCACCACGGTGGTGGTGCCTCTCTCAGGACATCAGGACCCTCTGTGGACCCTGAAATACCCTCATTCTCAGGACTCAGGGACTCGACAGAGACTGCTCCTAATGGTACACACTGCCTCAAAGAGCACCCTGGCCCTAAGTACACACAGGCCCCAAACCCAGCCCACTGGTCGGATCCAAGCCACGGTCCTCCAAGGGGTCCAGGACCACCTAGAGAAGGAGGCTACCCTGATGAGAGTGAGGCATCTTCAGAAGAGTCAGGAGTGGACCAGGAACTCTCAAGAGAGAATGAGACTGGGTACCAGGAGGATGTGAGCCCATCTTTTCTTTCCATTCCATCTGCTTGTAACTGCCAGGGAAGTCCTGGAGTCCCTGAAGGGACTTACCCTGAGGAAGGAGATGGCTCCTCCAGCAATGTTTGCCACCATTGCACCTCTCCAGTGTTGGGAGAAGATGAAGAGTTAGAAGAAGAATATGATGATGAGGAACCTCTTAAATATCCCAGTGATTTTTCACGTGTGTCCAGTGGAAAGAAACCTCCATCCCGGAGGCACCCCCTGATCGTCATCAGCTGGGCCGAAAACGAAGTCAGACAGATAGGCGTAGAGGCCTGGGACTGTGGGCAGTGGAGGAACTGTGTCAGCTTGGACAGGCAGGCTTCTGGTGGCTGATTGAACTTCTGGTACTGGTGGGAGAATATGTGGAAATTTGTGGCTATCTCATTTATGCATGCAGGCAGCTGAGAGTCAGTGATCTGGACCTTTTTCGAGTTTGGGTGGGAGTCTGGGCAGGGAGATTGGGGGGCTGGGCCTATGTGGTGTTCCAGTTTCTAAGTCAGAGCTTTTACTATGTGACAGCGCTATTCACCCGTGTTCTCAAGCTAGTGGGTGCTTTCCTACTCCTGGCTCTAGCCCTCTTTTTGGGTTGTCTGCAGTTGGGCTGGAGGTTTTTTGGTGGGACTGGGTGACCGGTTAGGCTGGAGGGATAAGACCACATGGCTGTTTTCTTGGCTGGATGCTCCAGCCTTGCATCGTTGCTTGGCTTTGCTGAAAGATAGCAGGCCATGGCAGCAGCTGATAAGATTAGTTCGGTGGGCCTGGCTGGAGTTGCCTTGGGTCAAGCAGAGGACTAATAAACCGGGTAATGCACCTGTAACTAGTGGACGCTACTACCAGCCAGAAGCGGAAGTGGCCCGACTTTTGACCATGACTGGGGTTCCTGAGGATGAACTAAACCCTTTTCATGTGCTGGGAGTTGAAGCTACAGCATCAGATACTGAACTAAAGAAGGCCTATAGGCAGCTCGCAGTGATGGTTCATCCTGATAAAAACCATCATCCCCGGGCTGAGGAGGCCTTCAAAGTTTTGCAAGCAGCTTGGGATATTGTCAGTAACCCAGAGAGGCAGAAGGAGTATGAGGTGAAACGAATGGCAGAGAATGAGTTGAGCCGGTCAGTGAACGAGTTTCTGTCAAAGCTACAAGATGACCTCAAGGAGGCAATGAACGCTATGATGTATAGCCGATGCCAGGGAAAGCACAGGAGGTTTGAAATGGATCGGGAACCTAAGAGTGCCAGATACTGTGCTGAGTGCAATAGGTTGCATCCTGCTGAGGAAGGAGACTTTTTGGGCAGAGTCAAGCATGTTGGGCCTCAAGATCACCTACTTTGCACTGATGGATGGAAAGGTCTACGATATCACAGAGTGGGCTGGATGTCAGTGTGTGGGAATCTCCCCAGATACCCACCGAGTTTCTTACCACATCTCATTTGGTTCTCGGGTTCCCGGCACCAGTGGTCGGCAGAGGGCGGCTCCAGAGGCCCCTCCTGCTGACCTGCAGGATTTCTTGAGCCGGATCTTTCAAGTACCCCCAGGACCGATGTCCAAGGGGAACTTTTTTTGCAACACCTCACCCTGGCTCTGGGACCACTTCGACCTCCAGGCCCAACAGTTCAGTACCCAAGGGAGAAGCCAAACCTAAACGGCGGAAGAAAGTGAGGTGGCCCTTCTAACGATGACATCCCTTCTTTTCCTTCCTCAAATCAATGTCAGGGAGTCAAAAGGGCTGTGCACAGCACAGGATGGAATTTGACTTATTTTTAAATACTTTAAAAAGGGAAAAATTTAAATTGTTCACTCAGTACTTAGAGGAAGCCCATGACCTATTCTCCCTCTTCCCCACCACAGGAACTGAATCTTGTTTTCTGACAATACCAAAGAAATAGGAGGTGGCTAGAGCAAAAACTTGGGGTCTGGACTTAGTCCAGACAATATATTCCTGAGGTGTGGGAATTTCTCTGGGGTCTGTATGCCTTTATCTTATCATTTTCTCTGAGAGCAAATGAAACACATCCCATTTTAAATGAGTGTATCTTATTTTTTAACCATTTCAGCCCCCCCCTTACCCTGATGTATTAGCTAAAAGAAAAAGCATGTAGTCCTAATTTGGAGCTACAGAATTCAGAGTGGAAATAGAATTTTTCCTCTGACTTTCACTTTTTGGGTAAACAACCTAACTTCAGGCTTGTTGCAAGGATGGCCAAAATTAATTTTTAAAAGGAAAACTTATGCCCTGTGCCCTTGGGTGAGGGGAGGATAAAAGGGTTCCCAGAGGCCCCCTTGTGAGCCAAGGGTTTGTATTTTTTTAAGTTTGTTCATATTTGTATGTACATATCTATTTAAAGCCAGGGGATTATCTTTCTATAAATATATAACCGGCAAAAAAAAAAAAAAAAAAAAAAAAAAAAAGGATCTTGACACTATGGTCTTACTCCGGGTTACTTAAGTGATCCCCAAGTGCAGACAAATGATCCTTGTTAGATATATAAACAAAGTCACAAAGGAGGTAAGGTGACCACGGAAATAGAAATAGGACTGATACAGCCGCAAGCTAAAGAACACCTGGAGCCACCAGAGTTTGGAAGAGGTAAGGAACTCTTTCTCCCTTAGAGTCTAAAGAAACATTACAGCCCAACTGTCTTCTAGAACAATGAGAGAATACATTTCTCATTGGTTCATGGCAGCGTGTAACTGCACCCCCAGGAAACTAAGACACATGCTTTGATTATTACCAGCCACTGGTTTCTTCTTGCTGCTCCATACTCAGCCTAAATGCTGTTGTCTCAGGTGTGTTTTAGTTGCATGCCTATACTTAGATGCTGGCCCCCCTCACTCCTCAGTCACTCTTTGGCTGTTTCCAGAAGGACTGAGTGACCATGTTATTGCATATTACCAATAAGATATATAGGACATGTCTGATAACTTTGGGAATAATACACAAAGGAAGAAAGTAGTTGTTCATTGTGGCCCTTTGCATAGAAGGGTCAATTAAATCCCAATTCCAGAGTGTACATCCTTCCTGGCTAAGCTTTATGCCTTAAAGTAGTGTGAGATGCTGCCAAATTGTTATGTGCTATGTATGTTTTGTCTTCCATAGACTCTTACCTTCCTCTTAAATATCTCTTTTCTCCTACTTGAATGCAGGTAGGCATTCAGAGGACTTGCCAATGGATGAATGATGGTCACTAACTTTTCCTACTTTCAATGGCTGCTGGTAAGGATACCAATACCAAAAATGTTCCCATGGCTATTAAGCCATCAAATTCAATGGCACATATTGTGTATAACTGGACATAGAATTACACTTTGGCCTGAAACTTAGCAGCAGTGGTTATCTGAAGACTATAAACATGTTGGAATAGGTATTTTCCTCTTTGTTTCTGGTGACTCAGATGAGTCTCTAAAGAGACACAGTATCTTTATCTGCATTCCCTATGATGGCTGCTTTACAGAGCCTACTTGATGTTGGCATTTACATGTCCTAAAAGAGTTAACAGATGGTTTATGTGTATATATATGTGTATACATACATACACACACACAAACACACACACACACACCAAGATGATCTTGAGGGCACGATCACATCAATAAGTCACCAGGTTATACAGAGCTAACAGTATTTTCATAGATGTGTATGTGGGGTGGGGTGGGTGTTATTGGGAGTTGAGCTGGGAATATGAATTTTAGTATATGCTTTGCAAATACTATACTGTGTTGCTATATCCTCAGCGAGACTAATAGTTTTTTAATACAAGCACATAGAAATGCTCCTACCATTGAAAGATAAGTTCCAATTCTTCCCCCAGACTCTGAGCTGGCCAAAGTGAATCACACTTGTAGTAATTTTGGTAGAATGATGTTCTGGGCCCGCTGAGATTATGACATAAAGCATGTTGCAGATTCTGCCCATGTCTTCTGTAATGTTCACTTCACAGTGTTCCTTTTTGGAACTTGTGCCATGATATAAGAAGTCCAAGCCACATGGAGAAGCCATATCTAGATGTTTCACTTGAATTTAAAGCCCGTAGTCAGGACCAGTTGCTAGCTAGTTGATGAGCTGTCTTGACCACTCAAACAAGTTTGGATTTGTGCTGTCCTGGATGACGTAGGAATGCAAGCCTATGAAAACCCCAAGAGGGAACCACCCATCTGAATTCAATTAGCTTAGAAAATCAGAAGTCATAAATTACATAAATGGCTGGTTATGCAACCAGGAGGGGATTTTTTTTTCAAGCCACTGTAGAAATGTTCCAAAGAAATCTGGGATCATAAGAAATACAGCCATTTGATCTTTGAAGTTGGGTTGCTCTGATTCTGTTGATGACACTTGCCACTGTGTCTAGTTTATAGAGGGCAAAATGAGGTGTGAGCTGCCTTGTCCATGCCACAAAAAAAACCAAACAAACAAAAAACAAAAAACAAAAAACAAAAACAAAAACATGGCCTTCCTTACCTAGAGAGGAGGGCAATGGTTCTAACTCTCTTGAAGGCATGAGAACCATTTTTTTGTCATGAAAGATGCAAGAATACCTGGTGATGGTGCTTTTGTCCACTGTGTGTCTAAGTGGGTAGGAGGAAGGGAGTGCTGGAATGCAAGGCCAATGAGGTAAAACTTGATGAGGTTGGACCAGAGCTGAGCATTTGGGGAACATCTCAGACATTCACCTATGTAGTAGTAATTTGCTGCAGACTGGTTTTTCCTATGTTCTGAGACCATGATACATTCAGATTGAGCCTTCACAGAGAATTCATGATCTAGTGGGGGAGACAGGCTAATAAATGGCCTTAGGGAAAATACCATAGTAGCGAGTGATATGAAAGTGTAGAGGGAAAGCCAAAATCCTGATCTCAACTTGTGACAAAGTTCTGAAAATGGCAGGTCCATAAGCTGTGTTTGGTAGAATGACAGGCTCAAGATTGGCAAGTAAGCTATAGGTGAAAGTCATTGACAAGGGATACCCGAGGAAGAGCTGACAGGGACTCCTCTGGGTGATCAGTAGGCCCACTCTGAGGCTCAGGTCCTGGAATCCATCTGTTTTGCTGATGCGCCCTCCAATTAAGGGTGTAAGGGGCAAAGCATCTCAACTGTGTCTTGATCTTGGCTCTAAATATGACTTCTCTGTGGGCAAATCCTTTTCGCTGTGTCCTATTACTTTTTCTTATCCATGCTCTAAAATATTTTTAAAAGAAAAAAAATTAAATAAATGACCACAGAGTTCAAAATGGCAGACAGTGACTAGAGCCAATTTCTCTTGCTTCCAACATGGGCTTGTGTGCCAAGTGATTTTCATATATTACTGGAGAAGTTTTACATCCTCCTTACTATTTCCTCTGCTTCCCACCCACTGGAGATTCTCATCAGCTTCAACTGTGGTTGGAGAAATAGGCAGTAGGGTGAATTTTGCCTTAAGCTCTCTTTGAGGCTAACCCAAGCAACTTGTATCTTTATTTGGAAGTTGAATATTTGCTAAATAAAACAAAGACCATGTTGACATTGATGTCAGTGCTAGTACAGCACTCTCCTACTCTACCACCTATAGTCGAGCCAGAATCAGCTATCCTTTTCTCCTTGGAGTCATCACACAATGAGGTTTAGCCATGGTCAAGTACAACTGGGAGTGTGGCAGCTATCAGCTGCAGCTGGTGAGAAACTCAGTTTGGATCTGAGAGCACCTTCAGGGCAGGTTCCAGGCTTTCTCTCCTCATTTTCCAGTAACCTCTGTGACACCTAGACAGGCAGTGCTTGCTGAATTTTTCTGAATATCACACAAGCGTGCAAGAGCCTTCAGATTTATCTTATTAGGGAAGGCGTTGTACTATAGCAAAACAGCTGTGTTAAAATGGCTTCATAAAATTATTTTCTTGTACATAGTTCTGGCAAGTTTGAAGATGGATTTTATAATCTTGGCTTGAGATGCAGAATTTGACTCTATAGGTTTTGGTTTTGTTTAAAGATCACTTTATAGATGAAGATCAGCAACTTGGAACAGCCTTGTTAATTGACCTTCAGAAGGTCAATTCTATAGTCAGGAACTCTCATCCATAGCATTTTGCTGTGACTACCTGGATTAAAACTATTGCAGTGACCAGTCTCTGCAGATTTCTCTAGGTTCTAGGGAACAATTCGCTAGAGGTTCCTCTCAGATTTCATTTTAGTCTCGGCAAAGATCCACCAACGCTTTCCCTGTTGAGGACCATGGTGTAGGAAGCAGGCTTGTTTATATAGCACGAGGCTCAGTGTTGGTGCCTGTGTGTAGCACTGTAATTCCCACTCAAGCATACCAGGCCTGGGTCTCCTGTGGAATAGAGCAAGGACACTCAGGGTTTCTGTGGCTTGTTTTTTTTCAGTCTGTATTTGACCTTGCACTACATTCACCAAGCATCTTCCAGTGAATGCAGAAACCTCTGCGTTGGGAACATTTCTATGTAAACAGGCACAGCACACAGATGACAAAAATTAAAGTGTACTCTCGATCCCACCTTGCCCTATTATTTAAAACAATTACTGCATGATTTTCTTTTCACATAACCATGGAAACCCCTCTGAAAAGATTTAATACAATTTATTGTGGGAAGCTTAGGAAGAAATCTGTTTCCCTTATGCTGGGAAGCAAAACAAGCCAATCCCTCCCTTTTCATAAAAGGTGTGATGGATGCAAATTGTGCATCA